GTTGGGGGGGGGGAACATTACAAAGCGTGCAGGCCCGGGTCGTTGCCCTGGCCGGGGGGTAGGTCGAGGAGCTGCAGCATGGCGCACTGAGTGCCGCACAGGGGCAGCGGCAGCTTGCCGGCCTCGCTCCAGCTGTCGGTGCGGGTGTCGTACAGCACCGCCTCGGGGGCCGCCACCTCCCGCGAGTCGTGCCACCTCTTGCCGCCGACCAGGTAGACGCGGGCGCCCAGGACGGCCAGGCCGTAGCAGGAGCGGTCGAAGCCGAGCAGGGGCCTGAGGCGGCGCCAGTGGCGGCGCCGGGGCTCGTAGCACTCGATGTCGCAGAAGGGCTCGTAGGTGCCGACGAACGAGTAGAGTCGCTGCCCGACCGCCGCCATCTGATGGCCGAAGCGGGCGATGCTCATGGGCGGGCAGCTTGCCCACGCCTCTCCGCCGGCCTGGTATGAGAACATGTCCGGGCTGCTCTCCGCCTGGGCTCGCTGGCGGCCCCCGGACACGTACACGGTGCGGCCTTCGTGCACCGCACACGCGTGGCCGTGCACCGGCACCGGCAGCGGGGGCAAGGCCTGCCACACGCCGCTGCTCGGGTCGTACATCTCGGCCGAGGAGAGCGAGGCCTCGGGGGACGACGAGGACCAGGAGGACCCCCGGCCCCCCAGCGCCAGGATGCGGCCTTCCAGCACGCAGCAAGCGAACTGGGCCCGGGGGCTCTCCATGGCGCTCACCGGGCTCCAGCGGTCGAAGCGCGGGTCGTAACGCTCGACCTGCCGCCTGACGCCGGAGCGTTTCGCCTCTCCCCCGGCGCCGGCGTCCAGCTCCTCGCCGCCCAGCACGAACAGGAAGTCGGCCAGGACGCACACGCAATGGTGCTGGAGCCTGGGGCAGCGGCCTAACTCCCTCCACTCGCCGGTGCTGGGCTTCAGGGCCCAGAGGCGGTCGACAGCTGCCGGCCCGGGCTCCGGGCTCTCCCCGTCCCCACTTTCCCCGGGGGGCTCGGGCAGCACCAAGCCGCCGACCGCCAGCAGCTGCCTCTCCCGGCCCCTCAGCGTGCTCTGGCGGCTCTGGCGGGCCGGCTGCGCCGCCTCGTCCCGGTGGTAGTCCAAGGCGCCGGAGACGAGGAGCCGGACGGCGGGGTCGAGCCGTGGCTCGCCCTGCAGGAGGCTGAGCGTGCCGGCGGGCAGCAGGCAGTAACGGAGGGCGGGCAGCAGGCGCTGGGCCTGGGCCTGCCACCTCGGCTCCTCCCAGTCCAGCCAGGCCAGCAGCAGCTCCAGCAGCTGGCTCTCCCGGAGGCCGGCCAGCCGCTCGCACTCCAGCACCGCCCGCAGGGACTCGGCGTTCAGCTCCAGCAGGCCGCTGCGCTCGGCGCCCGCCGCCAGCAGCCGCCGCAGCTGCGAGGCGATGTAGAGCTCGGCCTCCCTCTGAGCGTCGGCCAGGGCGAAGCGGGCCGCCACGTTCGCCGCCTGGCAGCAGCCGCCGGGGCTCAGGCTGCTGACCAGGTAGCGGGAGCAGAGCTGCACCGCCTCGGGCACCTGCAGGTAGCGGGCCGTCTCCAGGGTCTGCGGCAGGCTGTCGGCGGACAGCGCCAGGCACGAGTTGTAGATGAAGTCGAGGACGTGGCGCAGGCCGCTGGCCGACACCGCCTGCAGGTGCACCACCCCGGCCTTGGACTCGCGGGTGTACTCCTTAAACATGGACCTGAAGTAGTCGCTGGCGCACGCCAGCAGCGACCTGTGCGCCATGAACTCGCTGCCTTCGGCCACCAGCACGATGTCGCACAGCAGCTTGTCATTGCGGAGGCTCTGGTACTGCGACAGCACTGACTCTCCGTGTGTGGGGGACAGCGCCAGGAAATAGCTCACAGCCTGCTCTCGACTCGACATCCAACTCCTGCTGACAGCCCGGAGGGGAGACGAGAAGCTCCGGCACAGTACACCATGGGAGAGGGGGAGCGGGGTGGCTGGGTGGGGTTTTCGCCAATTCAGGTCGGAGGTGCAGCACCCACTTTGCTCGTATCAAAGGTTTCAAATCCACACGAAGCCATTCCCGTCCGTCATCGCCTCCGAAAGACCATCCTCGCTAAAACATCCTGCAAGTGACCCGTTGCCTGGTCCACGCGTTTTAGAGAAAAACAAGTTCTCAGTCCCGGTACGCAGTCTTGTCAATAAGTAACCAATCTCGCCAATAAGTTTTGATCGCGAATGCTAAGGTCCTTTTCCTGCATTATCGCTGTCCGTCTCCAGCAGGCTGATCTCGCCCCTTTGTAGTGGGCTCCCCGGCAGGAAAACTTCCCGATAGTAGACTCCGTTTATGTTTGCCTCTTAAACCTCTCCTTATGTTGTTCCGGACTGGAATACAAACAACAATAAAAAGAAGTCAAGGGTCCAGTTAGTTAAGGTCCGCACTGGGGATGATTTTTTCTCCGACCCTTACCTCTTGTTCTCGCTGCTTGATGCTGTGTCAGCGGACACCGAGAAGAAGTTGTTGATGGGATAAAATCAAGGAGGCTGGCTTGTGTGCAGCATAAACCCCATCAATGACCTGTGGGACTGAATGGCCTGTCTCCATGCTGTAGACTCGATGTAATGCACACGGGGATGCTGGCATATATCCTGACACAACGAGGGCGCTAATGTGTACCATCCTCATACTGGAACTGAATCTGACATCTCATAAGGAAAGTTATAAATAAGCCCCTCCACAAGAAATAATAATACCCTCGAGTAATCCAAATTATTTCTGTGCGGAAGATTTTTGTTTAGTTTTCTGAAAGGTTCTGTGTCCAAATGCATATGTCCTTCAATCGGAGAAAAGTTTCAGCTCCCCGCTGCATAACGAAAGCTGGTTTAGAATTTCGCTGCACTTAACGCACAGGAAAATCTCCGACGTTACACTCATTGTGGCACAGAACGAGGCTGATCAGCCCATCTCGTGCGTACCGATTCTCTCTAGGACAATCCAGTCCCATTAACCTGAAAGTTTATCTTGTAATACTTGATACAATGATTTCTGCGCTTCTCTTTTTCCAATACAACGACAATACCATTTTAGAAACATTTAAAGAAACACTCATCTCCCGTTGCTAAGCATTGTTCATTTTTGAATCAAATTGAACAATGTTTAACTGCGGGTGATGAGTGTTTCTTCAAATGTATTTTTACTGTTTAATAATATGAGCTTGGCTTGTACGGTTCGAGACATGCAAAAAAAGTCCTAAAATAACAGGTATGAGCCTTAAAGAGACCAATATTCAGTAGTATGCGTATTTTCGCAATTGAAGATGATTCGGCAGTAACTGTTGATGAGAGCCACGTAAAAATAACTTCCCTGGCAATGGTCCCACACCCAAACCTTACTTTACATTTTGGGGCTGGATCTTTTCACGTTAGTGAAACTCCCTGTGGAAATGGGAGAGTATTTTGCCTGTGAAGAACGTTCGGCCTTTTTTGCCTGTTGATTTTTCTTGGATACACGTGTTAAGGTGCAGTCTTAATAGCAGCGATGAGTCCTTGAGATGAAACATCATTTAACGAGATAAAAGTAGGTATCCGACCAAAACAAAAATGCAGCGTGAATGAGGCATTGGTAATACAACAGGTTAGAATAAGGATGCCTCTTTAATTCGTCGTGTTTTCCAGCTAAGATTATGCAAAATTTCAAAGCCCCAAACAAATGGCACCAGTTAACCAGGAGGTCAGGCATGACGACATGTGCTAAACCCTACAGACAGAGGGTGTGTAATAACATCGCTCAACAGGTTGGTTTGAAAAAATGGGTTCGATGAAAAAAAAATGAATGGCTCTCCATGGATTGCTAACAGTGAATCCTTCATATGTGTCTTTTTTTTTCACCCGGAATATGCCCACGGTCGTTTGTTCTTGCTGACTCACGTCTGCCCCCGTGCCATTTAATGTTGTTTTTGTTTGTAAGGAAATGCTGAACTGGCCTTGCACACTAGCTCATGTGTTCTGCTGCCTCTCTGATTTCCAACTTCCATAGCCCAGAGCATTGAGTACAGAAACTGGGACATTCTGTTGCAGTTGTACAATACGTTGGTGAGGCCACTTTTAGAGTACTGTGTACAATTCTGGTCATCCTACAATAGGAAGGATGTTATTAATTGATAGAGTGCAAAAAAGATTTCCAAAGACATTACCAGGACTGGAGGAGCAGACAAGTGGGACCAGTTCAGTTTGCGACACTTGGTCAGCATGGACAATTTGGACCAAAAGCTCAGTTTCTATGCTCTATGTCACTATGAAAGGCAGGGATTTGTTTTCTCTAGAGCGTAGGAGGTTGAGGAGTAACCTTTATAGAGGTTTATAAAATCATGAGGGGGCATAGATAACGTGAATAGACAAGGCCTTTTCCCCAGGGTAGGGGAGTTCAAAACTGGAGGGCATATTTTTGAGGTCAGAGAAAGATTTAAAAGGAACCTGAACGACAATGTTTTCACACAGAGGGTGGTTCGTATTTGGAATGAATTGTTAGAAGTAATGGTAGATGCAAGTACAGGTACAACATTAATAGACATTTGGACAGGTGCATGAAAAAGAAAGCTTTAGAGGGATAAGGGCCAAATGCAGGTAGGTGAGACTAGTTTGGGAAGCTTGGTTGGCATTGATGGGATCAACCAAAGGTCTGTTTCTGTGCTGTATAACTCCAAGTAACTTCCCCTCCCTTCAATCACATTGATCTGCATCTTCTGAATTTATACTTCCAAAATATGAAAGAATTGCTGCCTGACAAGCTAATGTAAAGTGGGCTGATACAGCAGAAACATCATCACAGTCACTCGGGAAACCTCAGAGGGTCCCAACTGAGACTAATATAGACACAGTGAATCAGTAGACACAGGGCGCTGAGACCATGGTATGGATCGCAGTTGGGTTATCACTAGACAAGTCAGAACCCAGCTTCAGAGATCATTATTTTACTGGTATTTATATCGCTGAAGTATAAATAGGCAATGTGGCAGATTTTGCTTTAACAATAAAATCAATGTTTATTATGAAAGAAAGGAGGACATAACAGAATAATCCAAGCTTTCTAATTCCAATACAAATGGAAAGGTTTTAAGCGTACAGTAAAAGTGTAATCCCATTAATCTAAATTGAAAAGAAACTAAACAGCTTTCGTGTAGTACCCAAAACACCACCTCAGTACAGTTCCTAAAATTCCACTCCTGTTACAGTTCCCAAAAACATGACTCCTATAATGCTCACTCTGGAATCCTTGTATCTAACACCACGGTAAGTTTAAGTCACTTGCGAATTCAACTTTTAAACTGGAACTTCGATAGCATCTTCCTGGAGCTACCACACCTGGGCTTCAATAGACTTCACTTAAATAAATACTTCCAGGTTTTCATTCCAACAAATTTGTCTGGAACTAATTTACTAAATCTCTCATTTCCTTCTCTGGTGTACTGCTGTATCCTCTGAAAGGGTGATAGTATTCAAATTCTCATGACAGCCTCTGTGCTAGTACTCATGTTATTGCCAGTGAGTCAGCCAGCCCAGATGCTGAAATCTATGCCAAGTTGGTGCAGTTCAAATCCAGGCCTTCAAGGCTCAGAGGTGCCTCAGGTCCTCTTCCATTTGCATCCTGCTCTGCTGAAAATCAGTGGTCTTCTACCAGTTATGCCTGCAGTGCTACCCTAGTGACCTCATAGAAGCATCAGGCTAGGCAAAGGCACAAGAAGGACGGCGAATAAGTGACAAGAAGTTGAGCACTATACTGGAACGTTAGTGTTGGATTGGGTTGGTACTAAATGGTTTCTTCATGGTGGCTTTTATTTCAGGATAGTAGCTAAAAGGACACTAGACTCGTCCATCAGAGAGGAATGGTAATGTTTAGAACTGTTGTGTAGTGGTGTTCCATTCAGTAGAACTAGGGTTTAACCAATCCTCATGTACAGTGTGCATGTGCTGGCTGCCTTGTACCTTTCTTCTCCTCCTGTTCCTCCTCCCTCTACCCACTTGTATTGTTGGCAGGAGCTGGACTGTCTTAATTGCCAGGTTGTGGAGAATGCAACAGACCACCACAGAGCAAGATTTTTGCTTCACTGAATACCAATGGCTTCCTTCAAAAACATTGAGGAAATAGAATTGTTCATATATAACCCCACCTGAAATTTTCCTCAAATTTACCCAAGGCAGCATTGCTGTCTCATGAATGCTGGCCATGTGTTGGAGTGTGGAGAGGAGTTAGCACCAACTCTTGACAATGAGCTGCTGTACCTCTGGTTTAACATAGTGGTGGAAAGATTGCTGAATCAGCAAACTGGCTTGGAATAAATGGACAATGAATGATGCCAAGATGAGGGTGGATTGGGCATGGTCAGACACCAGTGTTCCCTTTAAGCTCCTCTAGTGCACAACTATGTAGTGATTAGGAAACAAAAAACAGAAGCTGCCAGAAAAGCTCAGCAGGTCTAGCAGCATCTGTGAAGAGAAATCAGGTTCAGTGACCCTTCATCAGAACCTGGGTCACTCCACCTGAAACTTTAATTCTGATTTATTTTGCTTCTGGTGTCATGACCTCATGAATAATTTTCTCAATCAGATTCCCAGTATCTAACCTTTTCAGAAGAGGAGGAAAGCCCACAGATAGATGGGAATAAGGCTGAATTTGAAAGTGATGCTTTGTGTCCATCTCTCAGCACTCACAAACCCACATTTGGAGTGAAGTAAATACAACTTTAGTAGATAAGAAGTTTGGGAAATAAGGCAGGACAAGTGAGTGAGATGTCAGTGGGAGAGCCCTTTGAGGCAAGTGATCATGATTCTATTAGTTTTAAAATAGTTATGTGAAAAGATAGACCCAATCTGAAGTTAACGTTTCAAGATTGGAGGAAGGCCAGTGTTGAGGCAAGAACTTTCAAAAGTTCATTGGGGGTGGAAATTCGCAGGTAAACGGATGGCTGGAGAGTGGAAAGCTTTCAAAATGAGATAAAGAGAGTCCAGGGACAGTACGTGCCTGTTAGGGTGAAGAGCAAGGCTGATATATATAGGGAGTGTCGATGACTAGAGAAATTGAGGTTCTGATCAAGAAAAAGGAAGTATTTGTCAGGTATAGACAGCAGGGATCAAGTGAAACCCAAGAGGAGTATAAGGGCAGTAGGAGTATACACAAGAGGGAAATAAGGAGGGCAAAAAGGGAACATGAGATTGTTTTTTCAAATAGAGTTAAGGAGAATCCAAAGGAACTCTACGAATACATTAAAGATAAAAGAGTAACTAGGGAGAGAATAGTACCCCTTAAAGATCAGCAAGGCCACTTACGCTTGGAACCACAGGAGATGGGGGAGATACTCAACAAATATTCTGCATCAATGTTCACTGTGGAAAAGGATATGGAAGCTACAGAACTTGGGGAAATATATAGCAGTATCTTCAAAAGTGTCTGTATTACAGAGGAGAAAGTGCTGGACGTCTTAAAATGTATAAAGGTGGATAATTCCCCAGGACTGGATCAGGTAAACCCCAAAACTTTGTGGGAAGCTAGGGAAATGATTGCTGGGCCATTAACTGACATATTTGTATCATCGATAGCCACAGATGAGGTGCTGGATAACTGGAGGTTGGCTAACGTGATGCCGTATTTAAGAAAAGTGGTAAGGAAAATCCAGGGAACTATAGACCGGTGAGCCTGACATCAGTGTTGGCAAGTTGTTGGAGTGAATCCTTGCACAGGATTTACGTGTATTTGGAAAGGCAAGAAAAAATCAGGGCAGAACTTACACACTTAATGAAAAGGTCCTGGGGAGTGTTCACAAACAAAGGGACCTTGGAGTGCAGTTTCGTAGTTCCCTGAAAGTGGACTCACAGGTAGGATAGTGAAGAAGGTGTTTGGTACGCTTGCTTTTATTGATCAGTGCATTGAGTGTAGGAGTTGGGAGGTCATGTTGCAGTTCTACAGGACATTGGTTAGGGCACTTTTGTAATACTGTATTCAATTCTTGCCCCCTGTTAGAGGAAAGATGTTGTTAAACTTGAACAGATTCAGAAAAGATTTGCAAGGATGTTGCCCGGTTGGAGGGTTTGAGATATATGGAGAGGTTGGATAGGCTAGGGCTATTTTCCCTGGAGCATCAGAGGCTGAGGGGGGACCTTACAGAGTTTTATAAAATCTTGAGGGGCATGGATAGGATGAATAGTCAAGGCCTTTTCTCCAGGGTAGGGAAATCCAAAACTAGAGGGTATAGTTTTGGTTGAGAGGGGAGAGATATAAAAAGGGACCTAAGGGGCAACTTTTTCACACAGAGGGTGGTGTTTGAATGGAATGAGCTGCCAAAGGAAGTGGTAGAGACTGGTACAATTATAACATTAAAAAGGCATCAGGATGGGTGTATGAATAGGAAGGGTTTAGAGGGATATGGGCCAAATGCTGGCAAATGGGACTAGATTAATTTAGTATATCTGGTCAGCATGGACGAGTTAGACCAAAGGTTCTGTTTAATGCTCTATAACTCTATGACTCTAAGTGCAGACAGAGATTCCAGTTCCCTCCAAAAGAATCTATGCAGTTTATAGCATCAGTTAGAATTGTGAATGTTTAAATATCATCCTCAGGAGAATATCAAATACCTAATGACAACAGTCATTTTCAGTGGTCATCTATGGATGAAGATGAGCAACAGTTAATATAGCTTGATTTTTGAAAACCAGCTAAGTTGCTATCTGGAATATACCTGATCAGGTCCTAGGGATTTATCCACCTTTATGCATTTTAAAATGTTCTGAACCTCCTCCTCTGTAATATGGACACTTTTCAGGATATCATTGTTTATTTCTCCATGTTCTCTAGCTTCCATATC